GAAGATGTTATCAAAACTGTCATCAAAATGTGGTATGATGAATATCAACATACACTTATGTCTGATATAAACAAATTCGAATCGGGGGCACCAAGGGGACAGTAATTACTAATTTACAATTATCATTAGTTGTATGCATTTTTAATTTAATTTTGTATCACTCAGAGTTATTGGTCATTTCACTGCAATGGTAACTGACCGAACAACACAGATTGGTTGTGCCATTTCTCAATATGAGACTGTTAGTGGATCTACCCGATGGTTATATTCCTTGATGGCATGCAATTTCGCTAATACCAATATTTTGAGTTGTCCCGTGTATAGATCAGGCACAAGAGCTCAAGAATGTACCCTTGGAGCTGACCCTCAATTCCCAGGATTGTGTCGTGCCAATGAACCGATTGATCCAAATCAATTAATTTGTTAGATATCATGATTAGACATTTCAGTTCATGAACACTTCTGGAAAAATTATAAAAACATGATTATTTCACATCAAAATTTTGTCTTCTCTTCATAGTCACGTTTACCTAATACTAAATGTTTTGATGACTATTAAAAATTTACAGCAATCTAAAAATTTGTCGGAAATTTGCTCTTCTTCAAAAATTTTTATTAACGGTTGAATCTCTTGAAAATTGGAATGATATTTAAAGATAGTTATTTTGATATTTACAACACAACGGAGGCTATAACAGAGTTGTGCTTTGGTAATTTTAAAAAAAAATTACATTTTACGTAAGTTTGTAATTAAAATCACTTGAGCCTGAAACTTATGTGAAACTTGCTTAACAAAAATGTACGAATGAAGAAAAAACTAAGTGACGCAAACTTCAAAAAGCGAGTGCATTTTATAAATTTTCTCATATTTTTATGCTTCGATATTTATGACAAGGCTGTGATAAACAAGGGGTTAATCATTGGAAGAAATTGACTTTTTTGAAGACTGAAAAAAAAATTTTAAATTTCTTCCTGAAATATTATTTCAAGCTTTTAGAAATGGAATAAACTATTCATAAAAAAACTATGTTTATTTCACCAAAAATATTTCAATTCGTTTACCAACTTGCTGAAGCTTTTTATAATTCAATTACTTCAGCTGTGTAATTTTAACAACGAGGCAGTACACAAAATAACGATTTTATGTTTTACTTGATATTAATCATCAATCAATTGTTCAGAATTTAAAAAGTTGTTCTGTTTATTTCCCTGGGCGTGGGTGGAGAGTAATTTATGCTATAAATACTGAAGTGTGTACTCGCTTTCAAATTCTGAAAGAGAACTTGAAAAAAAGTAGAACTTTCAACGGCTTTAATAAAACTTTTATTCG